AATATATATATTCATTGTAAATATTTTTTAAATATATTTTTTAATTGTGCATATTGTATAAAAGGTATATAAATAAATTTAAAAGTAAAAAAAACAAAGCTGGAAAAGTCCCTTTGTCTAAAAGTATCTGCCAAATGCATAATGTGAATGTAAATTAAAGACTGGAGAAAAATGCAATTAAATGTGTTATTTTCTCAGTAATTTCCAGTAAATATTCCAAATTTTAGTATAAGTATAAAATGTATGGAACTCAAATGTCCATTGTTGTAGATTTCCATAAAGAAAACATTAACTGGAAACATCTTTAGACTTAGTCTTAAATACACTGTGTTTGCAAATGAAGCCCTGGAAGAAGACTGATCTGCTGGGTCGTGTTAGCATCTGCATGTTAATAAAGGTCAATATAAAAATGAGGCAGCCTCTCACTCATGACATTTCACAGTAGATAACAATCTCCTGAGGAGTTTAAGAATCTTTCTCTTCTTTTATCTGGGGCTTAACTGAGACACTACATTCTCAAATGTTAGTCACACAATGTCAGTGGAATAAAATACGATCCTCTACAACTTTCGGAACATTTTGTGCTGTTTTGTTTAAATTTCCAATCCGTACTGTCATAATCATTTCAGCTCATTATAGTAATTACTTCTAGCTCTGAATGTAATATCATCAACCTTAAAACCCCCAGTTTTAGGCCAAGGTTTTTTTGTTTTTTTGTTGTTAATTTGTGTTCACTGAAAACCACTTGATGTGTATCCAGGGATGCCATGGCAACAAGAAGAGTGGAAAACATCCCAAATTCACATCACATAAACACAGTAGTTCTGTGTCTGCTGAAGCAGCAGCAGCAGTGCATTTAGTATGTGATTAAATATGTTTTGTGTTTGAATAATCGTGAACAAAAAAAAACAACCAAAACTTGTAAACTTCAGCCTAGGTTATTTCCCTAGTTATGAAAATATTGTTACTTTATGTTGTCAGTTGTAGGTTTTGTTGCCTTACTGCCAGATGTTATTGAGTTTATCCAGAAACCATGAAAAGTAACTTGTGTTGAATTATATACAAAAATAAAAAAAACAAACTGATTTTTTTTTCATTAAAGTTAAACTGAACTCACTGTCATCCAGAGACTAATGGACCACGTGGGTGTGGGTTACTGTGGGGTAACCATAAATTAGGTCTTTGTAATGTTTTGTACAAACCACAGGAGACTGAGTCAGTCAAAGTTAATGGCCTCCCTGATTATGTACACGTAGCTTCCTCTCATGTTTGTCTTTCTCTTTCTTCAGCAGTAAACACCAGGACACAAAACAGTGGGGTCTATTGTTTTTATTTGTTTTTTATCCTTAAATTTCCATAAACCAACAATTAATTTTTTTTTTCCTCTCCGGGCAACGTGGACATTTGTGATATGCAAGAACAATGTGTTGCTGCCTGCAGCACCAGGAGCTCGGTCTGTCGTAAAAGGCACAAAGTGTATTCCAGAGACGACCACACACAGTGGCCTGTCCCCGAGGAGTTCAAAGTAGCTGCTCCACTTGCTGCCACGGTGTATAGACATTTTGTTACCTCATACCGCTGCTTAAAATAAAGCATAGCACTGTCCTGTCAGACCTGACATCATTGATGACAATGTGTCTCAGATGGTAGGTCGTGGCCCAAAAGTGAGTCATGGCGCTAAATTTGGTAGGTTGAAGGACCGGGTAACATTGAAAATCACCACGTTTGTCAGATTTGACTATTACGCTTAGCCTGGAATTGCTTTTCCCTGTAAATCTGCTTTTAGTTTTTGTCTGAACTGCAGCTTATTTCCTCCAGAAGAGGTTTTATTTGAGTTTTTTGTAATACGCTAGAGCATCATTGTAGTGTCAGAAAAAGAAAGTTAAAATTGAACATATGTTTGGTCAATAATATACAACATATATCTCCTAAAGATGTTTCTTTCTTGAGTTCTGTAATTGTGAGTCAGTGGTTTGACATAAAATGAAATCAGCCTCAGGTTCAAATCGTCCAAACAAGCTTTTACTTTTGGCCTAAATCCTATTCAACTCAATATAAAAAGAATAAATATATATATATTTCAGTAGCCCTTGTGATTTGTAGCCAGGCGCTTAATGGCATCTGGTAGATATGTGGCTCATTGTCATGCATCCCATGATGCCTTTGGTCGGCATGCAGTGCTCACTGATGTGATCTACACCCACCCTGTCTCTGCTGTGGAAAAGATCAGACTGAAAATTCTGATTTCAACACTTTCAAGATGCAATACATATTTGCTCACCATCTAAATTGATTTTATATTTAAATTAACCACATAACACAGCCTAATTTACTCAGTACAGGTGGCAGATCGATGGCAGTGAATTTACTCTTTCTGTATTTAATAAACAGAAGGTAAAATCACCAAAGATATTCATATTTACTCTTCGAAGTTCAGTATCTGAATGATGGTTTTAATAAAATATTGATCTTTTTTTTTTCAAGAGGTACATTTAGGTAATTCACATTGATGCTTTTTTGATGCATATTGTATTTCCAGCAAAACCATCAAGGCGTTTTTATGAATTTTTTTTTTCAAGAGATACATTTAGGTAATTCACATATTATATTTCCTGCAAAACCATCAAGGCGTTTTTATGAATATATCTAATCCTATGTTTCTTGAGCTGAGCTGCAAGAAAAAATTTAAATAATAATAATATAATGATTCATTAAAAAAGGTACTGTGGACATAGAACACAAATCTCAGCCTAATACACTATATGTTAAACAACTTAATTACAATCTGTATACACTGTTTTTGGCAAAAATATGTTTTATTATAGCAATGATTGTTGAAAGATTATAAAAGTGTACCACCACGCTGAATTGCACGCAATTATCTGTTTTCAAAGTTTATTATACCGTCGACATTGCAGTCTGCCAAATATGGAAACAGCATTGATTTACACCAAGACAGGCATAAATTGTTCAACCTGCTCTTCGTTGTGTATTCTGCTGCACGCCTCTTCTTGACTTTTTGCTGCTGTAAAAGTGATGTATATTTTTAATCTTACCTTTATAATATACATCAATATGAGGACACGTCACAGGCAGAGATATCTCTGCTTGTGTTTGATCCCAGAACAGCTCTGTGTCTGATAAACAATCAGATTTCTTTCTCTTTTTTTTTTTTTTTTTTGCTTTCTCAGTGGAAGAATTATGGACGGCATCCATCTTATTATTTACTGCCCACATGTGGTAACAGCAGACAATTGTCTTGGGAAGTTTTACTGCCAGCCATCGCTAAACTGTAAAACTTACCGCTAGTAACTGAGTTATGCTCTAATTCAGAAGACGGTCTGTATGGAGGTGATTCCTCTGCAGCCAGAGATTGTAATATTCAGCTCAATATTTGTCAGAATGACTTTTTTGTGTGCTGCATCAATGCAGGCGTCTCCTGGTGTGTGCAATCCAATAGTGTTTGCAGGAAATATCTTATTGACAGACAGGAGACTTCAATATATTTCCAACTCAACGTATGAGTGACCCTGCTGTCACAGATTTCAGATTAACACTGGTCCTGTGTGATTTACAGTGGATCAACAAAACGGGAAACTCATAATAAGAGGAAAAGACCCTACACACCTGCGGACCCTGGCCTTGAATAAAACAGTGCACAGGTTTTTCATTCTATGTCGGGGGGTGGGCATGCTTTATTGCATTTACTCAACCCCATGTCCAGAGAAGCATGTAGGTTCTTTAAAATGCATTAAAAATAAAACATGCAGTTGGTGAAATCAAAGTAGTGAGTCTCTAAACCAATACATTATAGGACACTTCTTTTCCACCCAATCTTTCCCCAATCACATACCCTGTTATTTGAGGAACTGCCCAAAATGCTACTTACAAGACCTTTTCAGCCCTTCTCCCTTGAGAGAACCTGATTTCTAGCATTTTTACAAATTGCCTAATATTTAAGATGGTAACAAGGGTCTGTACATGGTGGGTAATAGATGAATTGTTGAGAATTAAGTCTACGACATCCTCCGTCAGTCTTCTTCAATAGGACTAGAGCCAGTGAAGTGACAATAATTTTCTCTTCACATTAGTACAGTTGAAGTTGACTTTTATGGTACCTGAAAAACAGCTTCCAGGATGACGTGACATAACAACATAATCCCTGTTTGTTACAGTGGATGATTTATTTATTAATACGTGCAAACTTTTTCCCCTTGTCTTAGCAGAAATAACTAAAAGTGACATGACACCATTGACATTTGACATAATTCTTAGTATAATGTCAACTGCTAGTTGCGGCAGTCATCATTACATTTTGTACAGTTTTTTTTTTGTACCGCATATAGAGACAAACAACCATTCACACTAACATTTTCCACCTTTGGTCAATTTAAAGACTCCAGTGAACCGACCGGCAGATTTTTTGGACGATGATAAGGTTTCATTGAAGTCAATTTCATAGGCCCAGTTTGTTTACACCATCACTCGATCACCCCAGAGGAGTAGTTCAGATGTGAATAATAAGTCCCAAAATAAACAAGAATATTATTAAAATACCAATTTGAAAGAAAAAAAATCTATTTTTTGTTGATAGTAAAATACTCAAACTCCACATACAGTCACAAAGAGTGAGGCTCATACACATTTGAACATTCAGTTCTCTGTGCCGTTTCACACAGGGAGGTCCAGCAACTCACATTAAATTTGAAAATACAGGTGTGAGTTACACTTGCTGGGGATGAACCAGGTTGTGTAAATGCCTGGCAGATTTCTCCACTCCCCAAACACTTGCCCAGCCTACATAAGATACCGGAGTCTGACTGGCGCCACCATCTCCAGCTGAGGCCAAACAAGATGGACTGGATCCTTCTCCTCCACTCAGAGGTGTCTCCTGTCATATTTACTGCCCCCAACCCCTCACCCCCGTTAACAAAAAGAATTACATCACTGACCCCATTTCATACCAAATGCAAAGCGCAGCATATGGCTGATTTCAACACACTTTACTCCACCTCCAGTCCACATTGTTTTGAGGATTAACAAGGTAGTAAATAATGAGTTTCTGTGGGTATTTCTGTGTACTTGTGTGACAACAGCTGCTGGATTATGCAGTAGACTGTGATGGACTATGTGATGATGAAACCGGAGAGACTTGATTTATTAGTACACAAGCATCTGCACAGAAGTCACAGGAAGTATTTCCCATGTAGACTATCTGGGGACCTGTCATGGGTGGCACAGAGACCTCCCTCTCTAAAAAAAAACAACCCAAGCCCCGTCTTTTGCTTGGGGGCGGGGGGTCTAAAATAAAATCAGCTGTCACTGTCTGCTCTTTGGACAGAAATGAACGTGTAGTTCTGGAGCTGGTCTCCGACACTCACTGGGATTTGCTTTTGGATCGGGAAAGACCCTGCGGGCTGGGGTGCATTGGCCTTCGTGTGGAATTGTACCTGCTGAGAATATTTTTTATAAGACTATATCCTGGTAGGTAACAAATACTGGAAGTGATTGAGTCTTTGTGTTTGTTGTGTTTGATATGCTTTTACAATATCCGTAAATGTTGATACCAAGAAAAGTACAATATAATGGAGGACAGAAACTAAAGTCTTTATTCTCCTCAAGGAAATTTTATTTAACAAAGCTGCAATGCTAAGTAATGGCTATTAAAAATTCAAGGCATGCTGGGAAATAATGTGACCTGAATTTACTGTTTGGCCGGAGGAGAAATTTTCTTTCTTTTAACTGATTTCGAGCAGCGAGAGTTCTAACCTTCTAAGCTGTACGAGCCAAGGCCATTGCCATTAGACATGATGACAACCTACGTCCACTGCCACGAGGGTCTTAAAAAAAGAAATACTGAAAAGTCTATTCAAAAATGACACTACATGACAATATATAAAATAATGGATACCATCTACAAGCATCTTGAAAGTAAACCTTGACCTTCCAGCTTTCCATTTTATTTTACTGGAAACACGACCCACCATGGTAAAGTTCAAAATAGGCTTGATTTATTTTTACAGGTACATGGCGCCTTGATTACTTCACTTTCTTGTTATTTGAGCTCCAGACCAGACCTGACGTGTCATGAGATAGTCTCGGACTGTTGACAGATTTTTTTTGGCGTCACATTTAAGTTCCTAGCACAATAATTTACAGTCTGTGAGACCATAACCCACTATAGCTAACTGAGATCTGCTGCAGCGCATGTCTCCCGATGGTTATGTTTCACTGCCGGAATGAAGGTTTAAAGATAATAAATGCTGGACTAAGTATTTGTTGTCTAATTTGAGCAGTGACATCATGACTATTGGCCTCACTGAATCATACTTATCATTCTTTCGCCCTAAAATAGATTTTTTTTTAAAGCTAAAACAGTCATTAGGATGGAATAAGTTCCCAGCACTGGATAGATATTGTAGTTTTTTCACTATATCAGGGAAGTTGTTTGTTAATTTAAATGCCTAGGAAAGGGGCAGTTAAATTTACTATTAAGTTTAAATGATTTGCTCTAAACTGCACACTTAAAACTGATTGGAAAGCTATAAAGTTTTCATTAGCATTGTTGTTGGCTATTTAGATTTTAGACCTATACACATTAATTCATTATTTGCCTTAAAGCCAGAAATAAGTGTGTGAGATCATTTTTACATTTTTTAGTAAAAATCCTAAGATGACTTAAGATGTTGATTTCATGGCTTGGCTTTGTCTTAATAGCGAATAAAGTAGACCCCACGTGGAGCAAAGAACTCTCTAGAAATTATAATATTAATATAATATATATTAAATTTTCTTTAATAATATAATAATTATTAAAGAAAATGCAGAAACTCCAAAAGCAAATAACTAGACAATTATTTTAAGACAAAATTCACATGGTAGAAATTTTAATCTGTTTAAGCTGTAACACAATACATACAGCTGTATATGTAAGAATACCACTTTCATACTTCTGTATTCTCCCTCCCTGATTGGCCATATTTGTACGACAGGGCCAAATTAGAATTTGCTGAAATTATGTGTGTTTGTGGTTATATATACTTTATATCTTAATCTACATTATGTGTGCCTTCAGTTTGCTATGAGCCACGTTATGTTCAGTACACTATCATAGGTTCAAACAGCCAAGTGATTTCTAGCTGTACAGAAAAAATATAAGATTGCTGTCTATCCAATTCAAAGGTTTGTGACACCTTTAACATGGCTTTCTCTCCACATTTTTAAAACACTCAACATTGTGACTTTATAACGCACTTTAAAAGCACTCACTTGGCCACGTGTCCTGTAGCTGCTGGCAGCGCAGGTTTTGACCAGGGCAGGACTTCCTGAAAGCTTTTCAACCAGAGGAACCGGATTCACTCTGTGGGCTCAGAGGTCATCCCACTGCTCAACCGTGAGGCCATGTACCAGGCAGCTGTCTCCAAGCGAGCTGACAGCACCATCCACAGCGGGGTACTTTAGCCTGTGCATGGACCTGTATTGTTGTTGCAAACATCGCTACAGTACTTGGCAGAACTGCACTTGTGTGGGGGCGTACTCAATCTCAGTTGATGTTTGATAAAAAAAATGTCTCACTTAGCTTTCACTTTTAAACCTTAGCAGCTCTGCATACTGACAGGATATTCTCAGAAGTATTGTTAGCACTATATTGCAGTTATGAGCGGAGCTGATGAGAGTTTTTGCCAGAGTCGGCAGTCTGGCCTACAAGTATAAATAGTGGGGAAACACGAGACCACCTTTCCACACTGGGTAGCGTCTCTTTAAGGAAACATTAATTATCACATATTTGGCTTTTATTTACATGCGCAATAAGGAACTAATGTGAACATGATATTGTTGCATAAATTATTTTTAGAGAGGTGTTTGTATGTGTGATTGCAAAGTGACAAATCAAACCACATATAGCGACAGCCACACGTACCACACTCGATGCATACGCCAAAAAAAAGGTCCTCAAAGAATGTGCATGATTCCGGGTGAGAATTGGAATTGGACGCAGCTCATAATATTTCCTGCTTCATTAGGTCATGGAGGAGTCGGAGGTCTGTTCCCTGCCCGTGGGACTTATGAGAAAACAATTTGAGAGCAGAGAAACGGCATCATCTCAAAGTGTAACACAGTTCCATGTCCAACACAGAACTGTGCAGGTACACATGAGGGAAAACAGCATGGAGTTTCATCAGCCTGATACTAAGCATGACAGAAATCACTAACTTAATAATTATTTTTTTGCCTGTAATCATGCCCTTTTTTGCATCTCAGCTGAAGGCATTACCAGTCATAAAAACATTTAAAAAAATTAACCCCAAAAACTCAGTTCCAGAAAGATTTCTCAGATTTGGTAACGTAATTGCAATGCATTGTTGCAAATGGATGTCTTTCCTCTTCGTATCTCATGTATGGGCAGGGTTTGGCCACTTAACAGGCAACGACTGATTCATCATGCATTTTTGTTTCGATAGATCTGGCATAGTTCCATGCCAGTCAACAAAAAGAGTTCACGTCTATTGAGACAAAATATTGTGTTTTGTGTACGTCTCTTTAAAATTCTAAGAAAAATAAACAACTGATCTTTATGCAGATCAGCACAAGATATTTTGCCACAACCAGGTCTTGAAGTTTAGAGATGGAATAATTTATACACTATAAATCCTTTAACTACTTTATTTAAGTAATGCATTTTAAGTGTATCATTATTTCTAGAAATTGTTAATATAAACATTTCTTTGCACCAGGAAGAATGGCTTTAAATCTTTTGTTTTTATATTTCTATGGGCTTTTCGACAGATCTTTGCCGCCTTTCATAAACCCAATTCATCTCTATGCCGTGGAGCGCAACAAAGCATTAGAAAAGAATAAATTATTTCACACTTCGGTCTGGTGTGAATGAACAGTTTGACACATGCTTTGTCATTCTGCTTCCTTCTGCGTTTAGTCACTTCAAATCACAGTGAGCAATCCCACATCCTGCCTGCCTGCCTGGTATTTACTTTTTTTTTATTATGAAGCTTTTGGCTGGTGGAGTAAATGGGAGCAAAGCAAACTAACATCTGTGATTATGACATGGATGGGTGGAGGGAGGGAGGTTGATGTGTGAAATCAAACTGGGAATTTGGTGCTTTGTCTGTGACACTGACACATAGTGTTTTTCGCTGGGTTTGACAACCACTGGCCGTGTCATTACAGGAAACGTCAAACTCATCAGTGACAGTGTCGAGCAGCAGCAGGGAGGTCGTCCCAGGCAGTCAGCATCTAGACTTCAACCAAGAAAAGACGGTACTGAATAACATGTCACTTTCTGTGGGCACGCACCTGCTTTACTAATGAGCTCAACGTGGATGGGAAAAAAATATATAACAGCTGTTGCAATTAACTTGAAAAGTGTAATTAATTTTTAATGTAGTTTGCTCAGTGTTGTTGTCAATTTTGGTTCAAATGTAGCATGCCATTTAGCAGGAAAACCCACATGTATTGGTGACAGTTTTGATTTTGTCATAAGGGTTAGGGTTAGGGTTAGTATAGATTATATTATTATTTATTATATATTAGTGTATATTATATTAGTACATTAGATTTTTATTTATTAAGTCTTTCATTATTCCAAAAACACACAGGTATCATACATGGACAGTAACCTGGGATCAAGTTATGAAAACAACCAAAATGAAATAGGTAACATGAATTCTTTTGTAATATTTTCTTCATACATAAATTCCTATCAGACAAATTTGAGGACTCTCTTTTTTCCCTTCCTCTTTATCCCTGTCAAATCTTTGTAGAGGAGTTTCCCAGGTACACCACAAAAGAACTCAGGGATCGCTTTGAAAGAACAATAGAAGAGGCTGCGCCTCAGAAACCAGTGAAGGTAAGCCTTTGTTTCACAAATTAGATTATGCATTTTTTAAAGAAGAATTTTAGAAGAAAAAGAAGAATGGAAAAAGCAGGGTTTGTACACAATCAGGCAATATTTTTAGAATGCAAAAAGGAGGGTTTGTACACAATCAGGCAATATTTCATTAAATTAACTTTTTTTTTCTTGAAACCCTTTCATAATACAATGTGAATTGTTTTCTGAGCAATTTTTAAATAGTCTTAAAATTCAAAAATCATCCAGGCACAAGTTACAAGTGTAACAACAAAAAGTCGTAAAAAAGTCGTAAAAATCGTAAAGCACATAAAGCTGTTTTGAAGATTTTCACAGATTTATATTTATTTACCCATAAAAATGACTTTTGTTCCTTCAAAGATTGGACGTGACATCAATCGAGCTAAGTGGTCCTCAAATGTCACGCAAAACACTGCAGTGACTAGTGAGGTTTATGAGGCATCTGGTACTGAATCAAAACAAGACATCACAGCTGCGCTAATGGATTATGAGGATTTCCCACCCCCTCCAGCTGAGGATTCTGACTATCTACCCCCTCCACCCCCTGATTTACTCCAAATGCCATTAGACAATCACAGTATTGCAGCTGGCTATTACTCACCTGAGCCTCCAGAGCCTCCAGAGCCTGTAAACACCAAGTACCCTCTGAGCAGAGAGGCTTACTTTAAACAGAGAGGCATGTTAGAGCTGAAACGCCTGTACAAGCACATTCATCCTGAGGTACGTAAGAACATTGAGAAAGACTTCCACAGTAACAACAACCAAATTGAGAACAACGGGTTAGAAAGCGAGGAGTACTCGTATGAGGAAGTTGGTGACATTGCTGAAGAAATGAATGATGACGAATACGGAGAATGGGAGGAGATTTTGCCAGGGGAGGTGCAAGCGTTGCGTTGGAAGTTTGAAAATAAGCCGCTGGATGATATAAAAGATGAAACACCTGTTGAGGACGACGACGACAAGAAAATAACTCAGCAAGAAATCATTCTTGGCAAAGATGTGAGACGAACCGCTTGGATGTTTGAGACAAAGCAGATCGATGAGCTGGGCTCACAAAACACCAACTCTACAGAGTATAAAAATAAATTCAATAAATTTGACAAAGGAGGTGTCCGCGCTGCCACATGGTTGTTTGAAACCCAAACTATGGACTGTCTTAACAAAATGCATAAAGGAGAGGATTTGACAAAAGAGGTTGTGTTTACAGAGGAGGATGAAAATGCTACTATTTACATGATTGACAACAAGCACATGGAAAGCCTTGGGCACACAGAGACTATTGATGAGAGCCGTCTGCTGATACTAAGGGCTGTATTGGAAGAAATTAATGGAGATGTAAAAACTGTAACAAGTACTTTTGACACGCAGTTCAAATGCATAATTATGGGACAGTCAAGCCAAATGCTGGAGATCAAGTCAGTGCGTAAAATAGAAAGTGAGTTAGGAAATTCCATTGCCTCACGTTGGCTTTTCGATACCCAACCCCTAGACATGGCAAACATAGACACTACAAATCTAAAACTTGTATGTAGTCTGTCCATGGAGGACAGCAGTAAGGGAGACTGGGGCAGGTGGCTGTTTGAGATAAAGACACTGAAGTCTCTCACTGAGTGGGAAAGCTCCCAGATAGAGAAAAGGGATGTTGTTGGAGCAGATGTACACAAACATCGCCTCACATTCGAAACTCAGTCAGTTGATACTCTGAAAGATGATTCCGATGCCAGAGCTCAAGGCCTTGAAGAAATTATTGGTGGCAACGTAAGATCAGCTCGGAACTTTTTTGAAAGCAGCCCACAAATAGCTAGAAAGAATTGTACGGAGGTGGGAAAACTTAAAAAGACAACATTTAATGAAGAAATAAAGGGGGACGTGAGACATCAAAAGTGGCGCTTTGAGAGTCAACCTCTGGAGCACATAAGAGATGAAAAGAAAGAGGTCACACGAACTGTGAACGTTGAAGAGGATTTCACACAGGAGGATGGCACGATTTGCAAAGCTGATGTTCGCAAGAATTGTTGGGTGTTTGAGACACAGCCAATGGACACTCTCAAAGATGATGCCAATTCCCGCTCTTTGACAAAAGAGGAAATTATTTCAGGGAATGTGAAGTCGGCGAGAAATTATTTTGAAACAATACCAGCCGAGGAACTGAAAGAACTCGCAGAGGTCGGAAAGCTGAAGAAAAGAGTTTCACAGGAAGAGGAAAAAGGTGACGTACGACATCAGAAATGGCGTTTTGAATGTCAGCCTCTGGAAGAAATTAGAGAAGAAAAGAAAGAAATTGTTCGAACAATCGACTTGGAAGAAATTGATAAAGTGGATGTCTCAAACTACAAACAGATCTTTGAGACTACAGATTTAAACAAATGGGATGAATCTCAAAAGATTGTTATTGAGGGTGCAAAATCTGGCTGTGTGAAATCAAATAAGGACTTATTTGAGTCTACTCAACTTTATGCTATGCAAGACAGTTCAGGGCATTTCCACGAGGTGAGAACTGTGCGACGTGAGGAGGTTGTTAAAGGAGATGTCACAACCTGCAAGTGGATGTTTGAAACACGGCCTATTGACCAGTTTGATGAAAGTATAAACAAATACCAAATTATTAAGGGTATCTCTAAACAGGAAGTAGAATCTGGTGATGTGAAAACTGCAAAGTGGTTGTTTGAAACCCAACCTCTCGATGCCATTAAGTACTTCAGCAATATTGAAGATGAAGAAACAGTGGTGACAAGTATAAATCAGGACATTGTGAGGGGAGATGTGAAAACGTGTAAGTGGCTGTTTGAGACTAAACCAATGGATGTTTTGTATGAAAAAGTGGAGTTGAAGGGTGAATCTGAAGAAATGCACAAGGGAGACGTCAAAACCTGCACATGGCTCTTTGAGACACAAGCCCTCGATACAATCCATGATGAAACAGAGACAGTACTGAAAACGTGCACAGTGAATCAAGAGGACATTAGAGGGAAAGATGTAAGAACGGCCTGTTTTCTCTTTGAGACTGAGAAGCTAGAGAACCTCACTGGGGAGGAAGAGAGTGGCTCTTTTAAGCGAGTAACACAGATTGACATTGCATCAGGAGATGTTTCAAAAATGAAGTATGTTTTTGAAAATCAAATATCTGATATCATGACTTCAACATCCGAAGAAGAGATGCAAAAGCTCAGGAGGGTTCAGAGTGAGGATATACAGAAAGGAAATGTTGACACCTGCAAATGGCTCTTTGAAAACCAATCCATCGACACAATCCATGACAGCCAAGAGGAGTCTATAAGAGGACGCACAGTTATTGATGTACAAGGAGGAGATGTGGACAAGGGCCGCTTCATTTTTGAGAGGTACTCACTAGATGAAATCCATGAGGAGACAGACAGTGACATGATGAAAATTAAAAGAATTGTATGTGACACAGAAGAAAAGGGTGATGTGAGAAACTATACCATGATGTTTGAAACTCAGCCACTTTATGCTATTCAGGACAAAGAGGGACATTACCATGAGGTTACTACTGTCACAAGTGAGGAGGTAACGAGGGGAGACGTTGTAGGAACCCGGTGGTTGTTTGAAACCAAACCTCTAGATGCTATCAAGGACACAAATGAAGTTTACATCATCAAATCTGTCACACAGCAAGATGTGCAAAAGGGAGATGTCACTTCGGCCAAGTGGAAATTTGAGACACAACCTCTTGATAGAATTGCAGCGGAAAAGAAGACGCTGATAAAGACTGTGGATGACATTCAAGGAGGAAACGTCAGGATTAATACGCAACGCTTTGAGTCTGATGATTTGTCGCAGGATTCAGTGAGAACAGTTAATGTAAGCGAAATTCAGAAAGGTGATGTAAGCACTGCGAAATGGAGATTTGAAACCCAGTCCATTGATAAAATACAAAGCATGAGTGCTGAAAATTTGATTGAAACTGTTAAAAAGGAGGAAGTTGCGAAAGGAGACGTCAAACATTCAGTCTGGATGTTTGAGAAAAATCCTCTGGACCATATCAAAGAGGTAGATGAGAGTCAGGAAACAGTTGTCACTCAAGAAGAAATTCCAAAAGCTGATGTAAAAACAACAACATGGCTTTTTGAAACCACACCATTTGATGATTTTAATGAAACAAAAATTGAAAAGACTGAAATCTTGGGCAAGAGTGTCAAGGGAACACTTGAGGAGCTATATAGTCAGAAAATGGTAAAGTCAAAGGGAATACTCATTGAAGCTGATGAAATTGGCGATGTAAGGATGGCAAAATACCAGTTAATGAATCAGCAGGAGCCAGAGATTCAAAGAGAGGAAGTCATCAGAGGAGATCTACAGACTATCATGATGAATTTACTAAAGAGACAGGATAGAAATGAGCGACAGATAATCATTGATTCAGAGGAGAAGGGTAATATTAACTCAACAGTGCAGCAGCTATTCAATCAAGAGAGAGACAGCACATGTAAACAGGAGGAAATATTACGAGGTGATATTCAGGAAGCCATAAACAACCTCTTCAACACAGATAGCTCAGCAAAGCATGGAATACTTATCCAGGAGGATGAAAAAGGAGACGTACAAATGACAATATATTCCCTTCTCAATCAACAGGAGAATGTTAATGTTGAAAAGGAAGATGTTGTGAGAGCTGATATAAGAAGTGTTTTAAAGAAACTGTCAAGTTCAGACAAGATGGATGAGTCTCTGAAGATAAAGGTAGGGGAGACTGAAAAAGGACACGTTAATTTTTTTTCCACATGCATTGAATCTGGGTCGCTTGACTTTTTGAGACAAGTTCATTTAGGACCTGAGGAGAGCTCGTCTGAGAAAGTGCAAAAAGAAGAGATCATTGGAGGCAACATTAAGGATACAAAATTCATCCTGAGCCATAACCAAATGCAAATTGAGCGCACTGTTGAGGACGTGATACCTGGGGATGTTCACAACACAGTCAAAGTTTTCATGACAGAGCCTAGTGTCTCATTAAACAATCTCCAAAAAGAGGAGATAGTCAAGGGAGATTTAAGAGCTGCTTTACATTCACTGTCTGAATCTGCAAATCAGACAGTTGTTGTAGAGAAAGAGGAGGTGGTGAAGGGCAACATACCAAAAGCTCTGCGGTATCTGGAGAAGGCCCAGAATCGCACCAAGGAAGTGGAGAAGCCTGATATCATACCAGGAAACATCAGGGGGGCTCTGCGATCTCTTGAGAAATCGGCTACATCCAAGTCTAAAATTGATGCTGAGGAATTGGTTGCTGGAGATGTGAGGGCCACAATGAAATCTCTGGAGCTTGCACAACAAACTGTGAGGGAAGTTGAAAGGGAGGATATAGTAAAAGGAGATATTTACACAGCAATGCAAAACTTACAAGATGCCTCAAGTGAAAGGAAAACATATCACCAGGAAATTGATGTGCAGGGAGATGTCAGGGGAACAATTCAGATTTTCATGGAGCCTCCATCTTCACCAATAATGCAAAGGAGTCCAAGCCTTGAGCGTGAAGCAAAGGGTGACGTTAAGATGTCCATTAAGTCACTGTATGAGACACAGGAACAAAGCCAGGTGGAGAAAGAAGAGGTGATCAAGGGTGATGTTAAAGGCACCATCAAATCACTGATGGAGACAGCGGAGCGCCAAACACCCAAAGTCCGGGTTGGAGCATACAGGAGAGTTAAAGTCAAACAAGCTCCTCCTGTTAAAAATCTGAATGTTGATGCACAGAGAAACATACAAAAGATAAAAACTGCTAATGTGGTTGAGACATCACAAGAAAATCAGTCTATTAATGAAACACAAACTGCAAAGAGTACTGTGACGCAATCTTCTCAACAATCAACAACTTTGGTTGAACATAAAACCATTACCCAAAAACATGGAATCAAAACTGTGAAAACAGAGTTTCGTAATCTGAAATCTAGCACAAGAGGAGGAAAAAAGTTAGACAGAACTAAAGTGAAAACAGATGTTTACATCATAAAACCACAGTCAGCAGAGCCTGATTTGCCTCTTCCACCTCCACCAGTAGTGGAGGTTGAGCTTCCTCCCCCACCACCAACACCCCCTCCTCCTCCCGCTACAGTTGATTCTGATGCTGATCACCTCCCTCCTCCCCCACCACCCCTCACCAGTGAGCAAGACTTTCTCCCACCTCCTCCGTCTCAACAAGAACTGGAAAGAATCCCAGTACAGGTGCTTAATCAAACAAAAGCAAAGAAGATGACAGTTAAAAAAGTAAAAGCTCCAGCTTTGCACCAAGTCCCCAAACTGGAGTCTAAAGTGGATTTAAGTGGAACACAACAGGTTAAAGTAACATCAGAGAAAGTAGAAATTGGGCAAAAAACACAACATGTGAAAAAGACAACAGAAAAAGTGATGGAAATTAGCCAAACCCAATCCAAGGTAACAACCACACAATCAAAGACTGTTTCAAGTGCAATTCTTCCACCACCTGAATCACCCCAACCGTTGAAAAAAGTAATCTCACCTATGAAATTCACTCCTCCACCATCTCCCCCACCTGCGATGAGAGGCAAATCGAGCAAATTCACCACCCCTCTAATAAAAGCAGAGGAAAAGTTCAGAAAGATGAGAGAAGAAGAACACACTACGCTAACAGCTCCCACTGATATACATGACTCTGTTTCAGCGGCTCTTGAAATGCTTTCCATGGAGCACGCAAACAATAATCCAGCCGTTGTAACAAACCAGAATGCTCAAATAACAGCTTTCAAAGCTGATTTTGCCCAAGGCCATGCTAGTCATGAAAAAATGCTGACTGATTCTTCAATTATGTCTACTACTGCACAGAAGGTCGTCTCTAATGAGTCTTCTAAGATTGTCTCCTTTCAGAAAACATCATCGACCACTGCTGTTAGGCAACAGATGCATACAACAGTTCAGAAAACTGTTTTGTCCACACAGTCTGGTGTGTCTGTCAATTTAGAAAAGTTCCAAACCTCAAACACCGATGTGGCAAAAGCAGACACAAAGGCTGTTGACAGAAAAAAGGATTCAAAAACTCCAAAAGCCAAGAGCATCAACAAAGCCGAAGATAAAAAAGAAGACAAAACACCTGTACAAACAGCAAAACATGAAATCTCTGTCACTGCTGAGGAGAATGTGAAATCCAGCAAATCACTGTCTGAAGCCAAGAAGACTGCTGATAAAGAACCCAAAATAACCAATAACCTTCTGTCTTCCAAAAAAGAAACTGTCTCTTCAGATAAAACTGCTAAGGAGTCCAAATTACCACGGCATGAAAACACAAAGAAAAATGATCATTCTCCTACAAAGAGCCAAGAGAAAGTTCCTGATCAGTCAATGCAAATAGCTGCTGCCAACGCAAATGGAAAAACAAGCAAACAAAATCACAAGGTAAAAAAGAGCAATAAACAGGAAAAGCAAGAAGAGACAAGGTTCTCCAGCGAGAGGGAAGAAAAAATTGTTTCACAAGATCAGAAGATGGAAGACAAAGGTGTGAAAGTGATTAGTCAGTCTGGAAATGTGAAGAAGGAGATAATACAGGAGATCAAAGTCACTGCCTGTCCTGCAACTTCCTCAGCTCCTGTTGTTACTGAAATGATAACAGAGACCCAACAAGAAACTCCAACTACCACAAAGAAGAAAAAGAAGTCAAAAAAGTCGAAAGGGGTTTCACCACCAGGTCAAAGTAAAGATGTTTCAACAGAATCAAAGTTTGAGGCTACAGAGATCAAGGCGGTAACATCTGAGAAATCCATACAATCTAAGAGCACAACTGTAGTTTCTAAAACTCACAAGAGTTTAAAAGAAGAGCACATTAAAGTCACTACAGAAGGCGCTGCCTTAGATAGCAAGGATCATCAGCAGCAGAATGGAGTTCAAAAGCAAGTGACTGCACCAGAGAACAAGAGAGCAGTGCCAGAGGAACAAAGACAAGAAAGCAAAACTGCCCCAGAAAAACCCACGAGTCTAGAGAGAAAAGGACAAGATAAAGGATCTCTGGTAAGGAGTAAAGAAAATGAGACAAGAGAGAAGCAGGGGAGTGATTCAAATTCTGAGAAGGACGTTTCTGGTGCGACAAGAATATCCAAGATCAGTATTGGTTCAGCCAAAGTCGAGAGCCAACAAATTAAAAAGACCACTCAGGACTATAGTAAGGAGGATGTGAGTCAGTTCAAGCTTCTCGACATCCGGGCACCCTCACCTTTACTCAGAATGCGTTCTCCCTCACCAACATTTATCACCATTGAGTCCACAAGGAGAACAGACTCGCCCCAGAGGGTAACTCCATCACCCACTCTCCTGCATCGGCCACCGACTCCTCCTACCCCTCCCCCACGTAGGTGTGAGACGCCAACATCGCGCATTACTAGAATTACACCTTCTCCAACTTTTGACAGAGCAGAAAATCTGGCTCGATTGAAAGACACGACAGCCAAGCTGTCACGCGGCGTCACGCCACCTCCTCTTCTCTCCCAGCAACAGATTTCAGAGAAGAAATCAGAGATTGTAGAATCCCCAGCATCATTCCACCGGCAAATCAAAGTTGAGTCCCAAGTTGTTGATATTCCACTGTCATCATTTGAAAAGTCCATAAAGACTTTCTCTGATGAGGCACACGTAGATGATGAGCTCACTAAAATATTACAGGACTTAAATGCAAACGAAGTGCAGCATCGGGCTGAGACAAAGCAAGACACAGACTTTGATGCCAACTCAGAATTACCAGAGCCTTCAGCTGCATCTGTCAAAGAGAAAAGGGAGTTTTTTGAAGAAGCGCAAAAGGCTGAAGTAAATAAGACCTATGTGCGGAAGGAGCCAATTTCTATACCTGAACGATTGGGCCCTGACTTGGAGGAAATCATGGTGGAAAATGACAAAGAAAAGGATGAGCTTATCAGAGCTGATCTATCTTGTCTTGTAAACAAATTCGAATCACCAGAAGAGAAGATACATCTCAGAAAAGAGATTATCCCACTTGCAGAACAGCTCCAAGTTGACACTAAAAGCACAGATTGTGACGAGAAGGAAGAGGATCCCTTTAAAGAAAGAGTGCCAACATTTGACTTCCAAGTTATTAAAAATATTTTTGGACAGGGTGAGCAAAGCTTCTCGTTCAGAGAAGAGGGGGAGAAGGATAAGGAGGAGCCCCAATCAAGCCTGAGTGAAAAAACAGTCGACACTTCAAAGCTGGAAAAGACTCAAGGGACAAAAGAAAAGTCCCGGCAGAGCACTCCCCTCCCTGTAACAAAATATGAGGTAGAAGCTGCGCCAGCAGATCCATCAGGCTTCTCCGAAGCCAAGTCCATCACAGAGCACTTCTCAAACCTGGATGAGTTTGGTAACCAGGTTACTGGCACGAGGACAGCTGTCACTATGCACTCAGAGAGTGTCACCACCAACCAGGCGCCGTTCTCCTACGCTGATGTGGTAAAACGAAAAGCACTGCCGGTGAGGCAAACAGAAACATGTGATGAAGATGCCACCGAGAGGCTGCTGAGGAACTTTCACGAAACGTGGACAGAGAGCGAGGCAGTTTTCAAAAGTCTTGGCTACACCATTTCTGAAGAGTCAACATCGCAAGTCACGTCCCATCAGCTGTTCTCATCTGGTAAAAAGGAGTGCAGCATGAAACAGTCTGAATGGCATGGACTGATAATGACACTGATTTAAACAAATGTTCTGTTGTGTTGCTTAATGGAAACTGAAGCAGCTTTTCTTGCTTGAGTGTGACGAACCTGGTACTAACCAAAGACTGTTGTCCTTTTAGCTGAAAATTTGCAAAATCAAACTTTGCCAATTTTGGACTTTTTCAATCCAATCATGTGAGTTTGTTTGAGCGTTTGAGATAAGAATGAATAAATAATTCATACCTGAAAACTCCATTAAGTTTACCTTCGTAGAAAAACTGCCCACACTTAAACAAACACATAAGCATGACATGGAAACTTTTTAATATTAAGTTTTGGACTGCTCTGAACTAACACTACATCCATAATGAAAACTACAGTAATCATTTTGCATTTCATTGTTTCCCCCCAACTCCCGGTATTTTAAATGCCCTCCCACTGGTGACAAAAAAAAAGTGAAAATTGAATTGAAATGTTGCATTTCTATACAGCCCTACGTAAATTAAATGCAAATGAAGAACAACAACGAGCAATTTGCATTTTATCTCTGCCGAACAGGTTCGAGTTCCGAAGTCAGAGCTGTGCACGGTATGTCGGAGGAGAGCTTATCCCATGGACGCTGTGATAGTGGACAAAAAGAAGTACCATAAGTCCTGCTTCTTCTGTGAGCACTGCAAAAATAAATTGAGGTAAATATGACACCTTTATTTCTGAAAAAAACATTTTCATTACATTTAAGTGATTATGTGATGTTTATGTACGACATATGTGTTGTAAACCTTTACAAACCTCACTTAATTTCTGTTTCCATTGTAGTCTAGGAAATTATGTCTCTCTCAATGGACACTTCTATTGTCTGCACCATTACAAACAGCTTCTTCAGTCCAAAGGGATCTACGATAATGGATCTGAGCAGAAAACTGCGGTAACTGGTGGACTTATCCCCTCAAATGAGAAACTTGAATGGAGATATTCAATGAGCAGCTTAAATTCAGTGGACAAAATACACACTGAAAACAATTTGGCAAAAACATGTGATGATAGCAAGCTGAACAGCAACAAAATTTCTGTAGTCTGGCCCCCGCAGTCTGATCCCCCCAAGAAAGCCTTTAAAATAGAAGACGACATCCAGGTGGTCAAACCCCATTGGCCCCCTGCAGACAATGCACCAAAATCACCTCAGCTCCCACATAGGAAAGCAGTTCCCAGAAGTGTCCTCTAAAGTATTGTTGCACGGTTTAGTCAATAAATCAATGTTAAAGAGCTCGTGTCATTTACGAAGGCCGTGCAGAAAACCACCAGAGAGGGTTCCGTAAATGTACATACAGTAGAAGGAAGTGTACGGTTGAAGGTTGCAGTGTAAAGTGCATAAAGGAGAAAGGAAAAAAAAGTGAGAAATGATGGGAAACGGACGGTTTCGTAAAGTGCATAAAGGAGAAAGGGAAAAAAAGTCATGTGAGAAATGATGGGAAACGGACGGTTTTAGAAAAGCAGGTTGTAAAGGTAGAGTTTAGACGTGTGGTGGATGGAAGTCGACATGAGATGGTGAAGCAAGGGTTTTACTAATGTCTGGTTGTACATTTGTTTACTTTAATGTTTATTTCACTTAGAAAAAAAATATTTTTTTTGGTTGAAGGAACTCCTTAAAATTGTAAAATATTAGCTTTTAATCGTGGAATTAGGTTTGAACTTCAAAGGTCCAACTCAGTAGTATCCTATAAAATATAACATTTTTACAAACATTTTTTCCCTCTTTTCCCTCTTTCTGTGTCCTTTTTTTTTCTGTCACTACATTAATTGGTTAATTGTACAATTCACTTTTCTTTTCTTTTTTTCTTTTTTTGGTTGTTAATGCATGACGGTGGTGATGTTCTTCTGTTGTATTCTTTTTCAGATCTTTTATCTGTCAACATATCAACATTTTATTTACCTTCTTAGCACCTGGTGTGCAGACTACTAGAAGCACATTGAAATAATTTTATTTATAATATTGAAGTAAATAATATAAAATAAGTGGATCAGTGATAACCACCTTTGTTCTGGACATTTGTATCCTATTTTGAAAAACAAAAACGACTATTTTGCAATAAAGATTTTTTAGATTAGATTCTCATACCTTACTTTATACAAGCATATTCCTGACGTGTCACACTCTCAGGCTGGTTCACTGTCTTTATTGCCGATCTGAGAGCAATAAAAATGTTAAATTTCACTGTTTCGGGTGTTCCTTTGAAACGTGGTGGCCTCACTCAGGTGATGGTGTGCTGTGTGTTGAATGCAAATCTCTGTTCATCCATATGAAACACCGCTGTCATGGTGCTTGTCAGATGTGTATCTGGGAGAGGCGGCCAACAGGAAGCAGGGTCAGGCCAACCGGTTCTTTTCTCACTGTCACTGTAATCTCCTTTAGAAACAGCCCCCACCCTCTGGGGTGGGATTTTGGAGCTCAGACTGCATGTGTGCCTTCAGCTGGCGACTAATGGTATGCAGGGAAAACCTGAGACTGAGCCGTAAAACAAAGACAGATGAGGGACGGCCAGAGCACAGGGAGTATGTCACAACAGCAGGTTAGAAAAAAGAATAGTGAATGAGTGACACGACAGTTTAAAAAAAAGTAGTTTCCCTATTATTTAACCTTTTTCCCAGTGTGTAAATCGATTAAATCAGCAGATAAACCATATGATTCAAAAAGGACAAAGCAACCAGTTTGATACAGACAGCCATGAAGTAGCCTGACAGTGTTGTCCAGGTTTAAAAATCTCTGCAAGTAGATCGTTAATATGAGTAGACACTGACCTCAGTGGTCAAAATGAGTAGTAACTTGTATATTCTAATTCGGAGAATAGTTTTTTCATATATGGATATAAGACATTGATTCATATATAAGTAATATCTATGGCCAGTTTTTTAAATAAATATTAACTATGTCATTGTGTTTGAGAAACACAAGGTCAGAACTGACAGATGGATTGTGGGAAGATTTTTCTAAATACCATGGATACAGTTGCATGTTGCCTGTAATTAACAATTATTTACATCCCTGAATAATCAAATTATTTGACTGGTTGCTTTGTCAACAAAGTCCTATTAAGGTTGGTTTTAAGTCACATACTGGTGTTTGGGCACTTGGTGTAAATGTAAATGATGTTGTGGATGTGTTTTAAAGATGCACAGCTTTGCAGCTTTAGGTTCAGGATATACTGTAATCCAGAGGTCTTCAACAGACGGCCTGCAACCCCTTTGATGCCCCCAAATGTACTGCAGGTGGGTCATCGAATCTTTGTTCTGAGTTTTTTTTTTAATACTTATGTATAGTGTTTTTTTTTCAAATTTATATGGATGAAATATAATTTAAAATGAATGAAAAATTACAAAGCATGTATATCCAGGGCATAAGAAAAAAATATAAAACAATATATATAAGAATATATAGTTGGGCCTGTGTGCTGTATTGCTCAATTAGATTAGTGCTCTTATTTTATTATGTATATAATTAATATTATTTAGAATATTAACTACTTTTTCTATTTTTCTATTCACCTCATAAGTTGGTTTTTTTTTCTAATATTTTAATTTAAAATCAAATCGAAACCCCCATGACGTAGGATCCGTGTTTGGACCTTCTTTATAGCTAGTGTGTGTTTTCATGTGAAATAACCCAATATTTTGTGTGACTTATTCCATGTCAGTGATTGTGAACCGACCCTGGGGCTGACCGTATGTCCTGGAGTAAACACTCAGCAGGAGTTGACTTGAAATTCTCCCACAGTCAGGAAGACAACCTACATTGCTGCTCCTGCTGCCGTGCGCTCGGCACTTTCTCTCTTTAAGCGGATTGGTGAGGTCTCTATCGGATTAAAAGGTGATTGGCCGTCTGTGTGTCGTCAGGCGTCACGTCAGCTCAGTTCCACTACCTTCATTTTTCCTCCTCCCCAGGTCGAATAAGAGTGCTGGGCTGAAGGATGCTGGAGCAGAGTAGCGGCGCATCATCAGGACCACGAGTGGAAGGATGGAGACGCGCTGTGAGGTAGGAACAACAGCACCGATGTCCTTTTGTCTTTGTCCCCCAGTCACACTGCCTCAGCCTCACTCGTGTGTCCTGCAGGAAATACGAGTCTTTATAAACGCGGTTCTACTTTTTTTTTTATTCTTCGCAATTTCTGCAACGCTGGAAGCTCCAGCTCACAGCGACAATCTACTCGGTCCTTCTTAACGATTTTAGCGTGCGCTCATCCGGAGCTGACCTGGCTCTTAGTGGACTGTGATCAGAGCATTACTGTAGTCTGTGGTGGTATCAGCCCGTCTGTCTGGATACTGAGATGATGCAGCTACTTTGGCTCACTCACTGATCTCCGTCCTGTTTGGTCAGGGCTGTCACCTCTGCACCCACGCCTGGACGTGTGTGTCCAGGATGTTGATGGGTGGCGCTGGTGGCTAAATACACTTCACTGCATCCCACTGAACTTTGACTTTTGTCTTTTTGACTTTTTTTGTAAGAAGATTTTTTTTTAATTAAACAAAAATCTCCATCCACTTCACTGCAGACAGTACCTCTGGGAAAACGTTCGAATTTTAATTATTTAATGTAATTATGATTTATCTTCTTGTTATATTCTATATATTATATTTTTAAAACAGCATCAGATGATAGAATTCAGACTGAAAAAGTCTTGTAAATTTTAGTAACAAAAATAATTTGTAAAAATTTCTAAAGCATTTCAGTTTATATTGGAACCTACGGTCGTGGACGTGTCTTGTCCTCTACTTCTTGTGTTTTGCCTCCCAGACAAACAGAATTGTCCCCTCCCTGGTGGAGTTTATAAAAAAAATGTTATTTATAGCAGGGATTCATCATGTTGACATCATACAGCTCAGCTGAATATTGTGATTCAGTGTGATGGTGTTTTATTTCCATCACAGCCGTTGGTTTTATTTGCTTTATGTGACTATAAGGGAGTGTGAGTAGGGGTCGATTTGGTTACTGATTTAGACTGGCGCTGAAATTGTCATTTATTTGAATGGACCTGCAGATCTAGTCATGATGAGAAAAATCTCTATTCAAAGTTAAAGCAGCTGGATGAGGTCATTTTCACTGCTGGTGTTTTAGACAGAAGGACTGTGGTGTTTTTAAAGGGATAGTGTCGCTTATTTGAAAGAGTACTGACCTAAAGTCAGTGTGACACACAAAGTACAAGCTCTTAGCACTTTGGCTGCAGACAGAGTGACACTGGAGGACAGAGAATCGATTCACTGGGAGCAGAGTAGTTACAGTAGTGCAGCCGGAAATAAAACATCTCTGAGGAACCTCAGAGAATGTCGGCGCAGAAAAACTAAACAGAATCCAAGGTCACTACAAACATACGAGAAATGTTAACAATTGCTACGTTTCAAAAGCAAATATGAAACAATTGTTTTTATTGTATGTGTAACGATCGCAGCTCCTCTCAGAACATGATGTTTTAATGGTAATTCACCACACTACTGAAAAGACACAATGACATAGAATTTGGCACTCCTTGTGGTAGTGGCTGCAGCTCTGGCTGTGCTTTATCTTGCATTTTCCAGCATCACCTGGTCCACTTCTAGAGCAGTGGTTCCTGACCTGTTTTGGAATATGACCCTATTTTGACGTCACAAATTTTGGCGATCCCGGGATTAAATTTAGTTTTGGATTACGTGTGTGTTGCATATTCAGACAAGCACGGAAACTCAAGTAGGTGTCATGTGATCAACGCCGTCAATCAAGATGCACCAACTCAGATGTTGCATTCTATTTGAACTCAATCTTTATTCACGGAAGTAAAAGAATACCATTGTTTAAAGTTGTATTATTTAAAAAAATTGAATCATAATTAGTTAAAAAAATGTATCTGTATTTTTTTAACTAATTACTTAACAATCCAGGCAACCCCATTTGAATTCTAGGCGACCCCATGTGGGGCTGCGACCCCAAGGTTGAAAAACACTGTCCCAGAGCCTTACTATCCATTTTTACATGATCCATGAGGTTCACACATTTAGAATATGTTGAAGGATTTAAAGCATTTGCGTTCACACTATATGTCAAAATATGTATTTATTCTCGCAGTAGAAGCAGCCGTACAAGTACAGTACATACAAACACCAACAACTTCATCTCATGTTTGCTAGAAGCAGCCGTACAAGTACAGTATATACACTATACACTATAAACACCAACAACTTCATCTCATGTTTGGTTGTAGGTTTGCTATTTTTTTATTAGATGGAGGTACAGGGTTTCATCCCATTACCAACAGTGACATGTCTAATCTGTCATGCAGTAGACAGATTGGAAATAATGTGGAAGGGTAAAATTCAGTTTAGGAGGATCTGTCTGCCCCGCTGCCAATGCTGGGAAATTTCACATCACTGTCTGGATCCAACGCTAATCTCCTTTTTAGCATGATGGTTTGCATTACATGTCCATTTGCCATTGCAGTGAGTAGCAATTTGAGGCAGACTGCTGGCAGATCGCTCTTATTCCTCTGCTGCAGACCTCTGCTCAGACCAGAACTGCATGTCTGTCTGTGCCCTTCTTATTCTGACTGCTCTTCCTAATCACATTCCTGC